ATATATATATATATATAGAGTCATGTCTCCCGGAGAAACTGAAAAGGGTTCCCCACCCTTTTGATGTGCTGCCACGCTGCATGGAGTAAAGCCAAATAACCCGAACACGCCTCAATTGGAAATCAGAATTTAGATTTTTTTTTTTTTTTTTTTTTTTTGGAACACGCTTCCTATAATACCGATGATGTCAGGTCAACAGGGTCCAATCAGAGACGGCGTTTGTTGAACATATCGTCAACGTCTTCATTAGGCGCGCTCGCGCCGAAGGGCCCCTTCCGACTTCCTCGGCAATCCTCGACAAACACTTGTTTTGTTTTTTTTTTTGTGTGTATCAAATGAGCCTCCTTGAGCCATTTGGAAACGTTTTCATCCCAGCCCGTTGCAAAATTGTTTCCAAAGAACGTGTGGAGAAGCCATGTGCAGGTGCAACGATCACTTTCTGACCCCCATCCTGCCCCCCCCCCCAAAAAAACAGCTTTTCCTACTTGTAATGCTCTTTTGTATTGTCTGCCAATTTCCTAGAGCTAAAAATGAAATGACAAAAAACAAAAAAAAAACTAGCAAAATGCCTTAGATCTCGTCCGCTCTTGTATATCACGTGGCAGTGTGTATACATTTGTATAATGACTTGTACAAAACAAACCTGGTGTGACGTTATGATCCACGAGGAAGTGCTATATGTTCATGTATTATAATAACATACTTTTTTCCCCCCCAGGAACGCTAATTTGCTTTTCCACAGCTGGTGTGTGTGCGCATTTTTTTTTCTCCTCGATTGTTCATAAGAATCACACTGTACCCCCACCCCGCCCCCCTTGCAACCCAAGTGTGTGTGCGCGCGCGAGTGTGAGTGTTTTATGCAAAGTGACATGAGAAGTTAACCACAGTTATGCAAGTTGTCAACTAATATGGCTTTGCTGATGCTATTTGCCTTGTAAATAAAGAATTATCTTATTGAGATTTTTCACCCCGCGCTGCCTTTTATTGATTCGTGGAGCAAATCTGTCATGAGTACAAGAGCAATTTTTGTGTCCCTTAATGCTTAGAACAATAAAGATATGAGTTACAGGCAGAACATTTGACTGTATATCGTACTTTTTGTCCTTGAGTATTTATTAGTTTACAAACGCAAAATAAGAGTTAGCATCATTAGTCAATGAAAAACTTAAATTTTTGCTAACTTTTATAGAGCTAATATCGGCATTTTTTGTCAGCACGGCTTATTTCGTGATTTTGGGGAGGGTGAGTACGTGTTAATTATTTCTAAAAGTAAAAATTTTCACTCCACATAATCTGCAAAACCGAAAATGCAGCGCAATTCTCGACATAACGTTGTTCTTCTTCTTTGGTGTCTGTTGGCGCTTGGCAAAGCAGCTTAACGGCTCACTACTGCCACCAACTGATGATGTCCTTTCACTGCAAGGATGAAAAGACTACAATACAATCTTAACAGCACTTTCACAACAATTGCAGCTGCAACAAAGCGCTTTACAGAACATTTGCCATAAAATAATAATTCACTAATTCCTAAAATTAAAGGAACAATTATGATTCAGACTTTAATTTCTTTTTCTGACTTTTTTTTTTAATTATTCACGGTTTTAAAAAAGGGACTTGGAATGTCATCTCCACAGCGGAGAAAAAGCTGTACTTAATTCAACTTTACCTGAAAACAAATAAAATACGATGTCTAAACTTTTTTTTTTTAATTCCTTCACAAGCCACAACATTAGGGACACCCCACGAGCAAAACTAGAATCAGTCAATCAATCCAACTTTATTTATATTGCACTCTTCACACATAAATATGCAACTCAAAGTGCTATGCATCATTTAAAACCTCAAAAATTCAACATAAGGTCCCTCCCCCTCACCTCAAAAGCTAACATTTTCCAGGGGGTGTCGAGGGGGCTTTCTTGAGATAACATCAACATTTTTGAGTAGAGTGGAGGGGGGGGGGGTCATATGTAAATGTGCACAAGTTAACAGGGTGGGCTGTCCCTGGAGAGAGAGAGAGCGAGAGAAAAGAGGCATTATTGAGATGCATGAGCCAGGAGCCAATAGGAAGGAGCAAGCATCCTCCTCAGCGGATCAGCGTGGATGCCCTCAGATGACCGCGGCGGTGTGGTCCAGTTGGAGAAGCTTATTCCTGTGAGTGTGAGGAGGAGTGATGACAGCAAGCTTCTCTGTGCAACGCCTCTAAATTGGCAACAAGGTAAGCTTTATTTCTTTCAAAACACCGTTTTTAAAAAAAAGAAACTTTCATTTATTTATTTTACATTTGTGCGCATGTACTTTAATGGGTTTCTAGCGGTTGTAGGCTTCTTTCAAATGGGCCTTCAGTGAGGGTTAAGGTCTATTAAGAGAGAAAAAACTTCATGCATGTTGACCTCTGCTCTGACGGACCTCAATGAGTGTCATGACCCTGATTTGTTTCTCTTTGAACTGGTCAAACACTTCCGAAAATACTCTTAGTACGCCACTGATGGAGGAGCGTGTTCTTTTTGTCGGGTGGGGAGAGAGAACATCTGGATTCAACTTTTGGAGGGGCCGAAAAATTAGTATGCGTGATGTTCTTTTATTGAAGCAAAATGTTCTGAAATCAATATTTTCTTGAAACAAATGAACTCGCTTTCATTTGTTTTTTTTCAATCCAACTTAAAAGAAATCCAAAAACCTAACATTTTTCAGATAAAAATCACAAGAGGCTTTATAGTAGATGTGACAGGGTATGCCGAAGAAATTCTGGATCGTCCATATTTCAAAATAAAAAAATAATTTGAAACTAAAAAAGACATTTTAGTATGTGGGGTGTCCTTTTAAGTCAGCGAAATGTGGTTTGATGAACATTCTTGCATTTTTTTTCTTTGATTAAAACTTAACAACAAATAAGTAAACATATTTTTTGGTAGCAATTTTTGCAGATAGTCACAACGTGCTTTAAAATGTAGTTCAAAACGCCAGTGTAAAAAAAACAAAAAAAAACAAAACGACACCACATGTTCATTGAATTAGAAAAATAAGGTTACGCTCATTAATTTGAACAACAAAAAAAAAAAATGTAACGAAATGTTAAAGTGCTCAATGAGTGTCCCAACATGTCTTATTGAATTAGGGCTGAGTTCCTTCCCAAATGCTCCTCACCCTATCCAGCCTCTCTTCACCACCCAAGGACAGAAGCCTCCAGGAGGGCATGCTCAAGACAAGTACCCCCCGGGGCTTCTTGCCCGCCCCTCTCCACCACCACCATCACCACCACCCGTACATGGACCTCTTATCCCGAACTCACGGCCTCCTTCACCCGGTCAAATCCACCACCGCGCTGGTGCTCAACCCTTACCTCCAGCAACAGCAGCAGCACATGTTAGCCGCCCAGGGGATGCCCTACCTCGGACACCTGGCGCCAGGTCACCCGCTGTGCTCGTCTAAGCCGGAGGACCTAGCAGCGGTGGTGACCGGGCACGCCTCCGGTCCTCTTTCTTTTTCGGATTTAAGTATGAGCAGTCCGGCCGGCGGGAACGGCAGCGGGACGTCATCGTGCGTTTCCGCTTCGACAGCGAAGCAGATGCTCACAAGTCGAGCTGCGTCACCGGAGAAGAGAGGCCGCTTCAACTTCAGCGAGGATGACTTGTTCGCGGTGCTGTATGGATACTCGGCGGGCCCGCAGCCAGGCGGTGGCACCGGGGGCCACGCTATTTCCGGGGTTAATCTGCCGGACAAACCAGGTACAACAATTTTTTTTTCGAAATATATATTTAATTGAGTTTGTTTTTAACTCATGATGCTGATGGTCAATTTTGTCTTGAAAAATTATCAATCGAGGAATAAAGAAATAAATAGAGGCCTGCATCTACATTTCCGTTGAAGAAAATCAGGTTTAAAAAAAACAAAAAAACGAATCGGGTTTTTAAAAAAGGAGATAATCCGGTTTGGAAAAAAAAGCAAAAATAAAATAAAATAATTCAAGTTAAACAGTTACGTAACTACTTGGGTGAAAACAATTTAAAAATCAGGTTAAAAATTTAAACAGATAAAGTAAATAAAATCGACAATTCTTTTTATTTCAACAACAAATCTTTTTTCAATCAAAAAAATCAGGTGAAGTCAGAATTATCATATTTTAATATATACTCACTAATCTGGTATATATATATATA